CAAGAACAAGAATAAGAAAGAAAATAGAAGAAAACCCAGAGAGGGGTGTATATATGTGCTTGTACATGTATGTGTAGTGTGACCTAAGTGTAAGTAGAAGTAGCAAGACATACCTGAAATCTTGCATGTTTATGAGACAGAAAAAAGGACACCAGCAATCGTACCATCATGTAAAACAATTACAAGCTTTCGTTTTACACTCACTTGGCAGGACAGTAGTACCTCCCTGGGCAGTTGCTGTCTACCAACCTACTACCTAGGACACGTACATGTACAAGCATATATGTGCACACCCCTCTAGGTTTTCTTCTATTTTCTTTCTAGTTCTTGTTTTTGTTTATTTCCTCTTATCTCCATGGGGAAGTGGAACAGAATTCTTCCTCTGTAAGCCATGCATGTTGTAAGAGGCGACTAAAATGCTGGGAACAAGGGGCTAGTAATCCCTTCTGTACAAATTACTAAATTTAAAAAGAGAAACTTTCGTTTTTCTTTTGGGTCACCCTGCCTTGGTGGGATACGGCCGGTTTGTTGAAAAATAACAAAACATGGTGAGGGGCTCTTGATCTATGGAATTGGATCTGTGCTCCAGTTCCCTAAATTAATAGCAATAATAATAATTTTTATTATTATAATAATGAGGAGGTGTTTGGGATGTTGACAGTTTGGAGGGATATGTTGTGTATCTTTATACTTACATGCTTCTAAGCTGTTGTGTTCTGAGCACCCCTGCAAAAACACAGGAAGACATAAATGAGATTCCAGAAATTAACAATTATCCAGTTCCTGACGAATTCAAATTGACTAATATTACTGTCACGAGGGACATGGTTATCAAGCAGATAGACAAATTGAAGCAAAGTAAGTCCCCGGGGCCCGACGAGTTGTTTTCCAGGGTACTTAAGGAATGCAAAATGGAACTTAGTCAGCCATTAACGAGTGTGTTTAATGTGTCCGTCCTTACTGGTATTGTGCCAGAATTGTGGAAGATGGCTAATGTGGTTCCTATATTCAAATCAGGGGATAAGTTCGTGTCTTCAAATTACCGTCCAATAAGCCTAACATCTATAGTGGGCAAGTTACTAGAATCAATTATAGCTGACATTATTAGAAGTCACCTTGAAGAGCATAACTTGATAAATGAATCTCAGCATGGGTTCACGAGAGGTCATTCCTGCCTGACAAATTTACTGACGTTCTTCAATAGAACATTTGAGGCAGTAGACAGTGATAAAGAATGTGATATTGTTTATTTGAATTTTAGTAAAGCCTTCGATAGAGTACCTCACAAGAGACTCTTAAGAAAAGTGGCAGCTCATGGTATAGGAGGTAAAGTTCTAGCATGGATAGAGGCATGGCTTACCAATAGAAAGCAGAGAGTTTCGATTAATGGGGTCAAATCTGAATGGGGATTAGTCACTAGTGGCGTTCCACAGGGATCAGTTTTGGGCCCTCTCTTGTTCATAATTTACATTAATGACCTTGATGAAGGGATTACGAGCGACATAAGTAAATTTGCTGATGATACAAAGATAGGCTGTATAATTCATTCTGAGGAGGATAGCAATGAACTCCAGGAGGATTTGGACAAATTGATGTCTTGGTCTGAAAAATGGCAGATGAAGTTCAATGTGGACAAGTGTAAGGTACTAGTCCTTGGTAATAAAAATAACCCTCAAAACTATAAACTAGGTGAAGTAGAGCTTGATCATACAGAATGTGAAAAAAACTTGGGAGTCATGGTAAGCAGAAACCTAAAATCAAGACAGCAGTGCCTAAGTGTGCACAACAAGGCTAACAGATCACTTGGATTTATCTCAAGAAGTAAAAGTAACAGAAGTCCAAAAGTTATTTTACAGCTCTATTCATCACTAGTGAGGCCTCATTTAGATTATGCTGCTCGGTTTTGGTCTCCTTACTACAGGATGGATATAAACCATACCACGGGTGGGATTTGAACCCGCGGTCAGAGAGTCTCAAAACTCCAGACCGTCGCGTTAGCCACTGGACCAGCTACCCACAATAAGATTTGTCCAATTAGGTATATTTCTACACCATAGGAAGGTTAGCATAGGCACCACTGTGACCACAAATGCAAGTTTTTACAGACGAATCTCCAGCTAGCATGGCCGTGACGAACTCTAGCTCAAGTCCCCTCACTGCCGTCAACATGACTCACGAAATCGTAATGACATGATTGCAAACAAACCATACCACAGGCAGGATTTGAACCCGCGATCAGAGAGTCTCAAAACTCCAGACCTTCGCGTTAGCCACTGGACCAGCTAGCCACAGTAAGATTTGTCTTATTGTTGCTAGCTGGTCCAGTGGCTAACGCAACGGTCTGGAGTTTTGAGACTCTGACCGCGGGTTCAAATCCCACCCGTGGTATGGTTTGTTTGCAATCGTGTCATTACGATTTCGTGAGTCATGTTGACGGCAGTGAGGGGACTTGAGCTAGAGTTCGTCACGGCCACGCTAGCTGGAGATTCGTCTGTAAAAACTTGCATTTGTGGTCACAGTGGTGCCTATGCTAACCTTCCTATGGTGTAGAAATATACCTAGTTGGACGAATCTTATTGTGGCTAGCTTGTCCAGTGGCTAACATGACGGTCTGGAGTTTTGAGACTCTCTGACCGCAGGTTCAAATTCCGCCCGTGGTATGGTTTGTTTGCAATCGTTTCATTACGAATTTGTGAGTCATGTTGACAGCAGTGAGGGGACTTGAGCTAGAGTTCATCACGGCCATGCTAGCTGGAGATTCGTCTGTAAAAACTTGCATTTGTGGTCACAGTGGTGCCTATGCTAACCTTCCTATGGTGTAGAAATATACCTAGTTGGATGAATCTTATTGTGGCTAGCTGGTCCAGTGGCTAACGCGATGGTCTGGAGTTTTGAGACTCTCTGACCGCGGGTTCAAATCCCGCCCGTGGTATGGTTTGTTTGCAATCGTGTCATTACGATTTCATGAGTCAGGATGGATATAGACTCATTGGAGAACATACAGAGAAGAATGACTAAAATGATTTACTGTGTAAGGAATCTCCCGTATGAAGATAGACTTAAAGCCTTAAATCTCCACTCTCTGGAGAGACGTAGAATAAAGGGAGATATCATTGAAGTGTATAAGTGGATGACGGGCATGAAAAAAGTTCGAGGGTGTCGAACCAAGTAAGAACCAGAAATAATGGATTTAAGTTGGATAAGTTTAGATTTAGAAAAGACATAGATAAGTACTGGTTTGCTAACAGAGTTGTGGATGCATGGAACAGTCTCCCAAGTAGGGTGATCAAGGCTAGGACCTTGGGTGGCTTTAAAAAGAGATTGGACAAATATGTGAGTGGGAAGGGCTTGGTTTGATTGGTGTCATTGGGTACGGGAGGATATTCTTGGGAAGCTTTGAGTAGGGGTCGTTTTGATAAGGACCTGCCTTCTATGGGCCAGTAGGCCTTCTGCAGTGTTCCTCCATTCTTATGTTCTTATGTATGTGATGAATGAACTGTATATGCATTTTATCACTCTGGGATGCTTTAAATGTTGTAGTATAATAGGTGTGAGTGGGGTGGCCTGGCCTGGCCTGGCCTTTATCAACTCGTGCTGCTGTAGTATCGTACATATCGTAGAATCACTGAAGAAGGAACGTTCTCCCCTCTCTCTTCCTCCTCCACTTTGGTACTTTGCTACGAGTTCTTTCTTGAATTCTATCGTGTTTGTCACCTTTACCAAAGGGCTGGCATTAGGAGCTTTCTTCGAGCACATGGTAGCTTATTTAGTAGTTGCTAGCACTAAAACGAATGGAATATTATGAAAGGTACGCCTGTGGCCTCCACAGAGACTCCACGGGGCATTTGATGAACTGGAATGAGGCACAACTTGTTCTCACTGAACCAGACCTCAGACGCCGACGGTGCCTAGAAGCCTCACTAATCACCGTCACCAACACAATAGAACCTAACGCTGAAAACCACAAAATTTAAAAACATTAGCATACATGATACTTAAGCAGGCTAAGCACCACCAACCCAACAACACAGGAGTCACATGATCTCATCGTCTACCCGTCCTCATCCCAACATGGCATTCTTCAGGTCACCATGCGTCACTCACACCTCACTCTCCGCCTATATATAATGTCTTTCTACCTCTGTATGTTAGAAGTGATCAAGGTCCCAGGACCGAAACGTTTTCTAATAAATATGTCATAGTGTTTGCTAACGTGTATTTCTAAACCAACTTGTCGGTATTTATTACCAAGGTTTATACCATTACGAATTGTATCATATGAACGTGCTCACTCGCTGATAAACAATGGCACACTGACTGTGAAGGGTGTGTGGGGCCGCTCGTACATGTCTGGGACGAACGACTATTTGCAAGTCAAACGGCGATTCATGAGTCAATATTTTGACGAAAAAAGTTACGATTTGCGAAAATTACCACTTCCAGTGCTTACAGAAGTCAAGGGTCCACTCTATTTGTTAGTGTAAACTTGTTATCTAGCATTTATAAGTGGAAAATGGGTGTTCCACTTTACAGCAATGTCCGCTTCCTGGCGGTAGCCTGGAACCTAACCTGCTGTATAAGTGGGGCCCTACTGTAACTGACCAGGTAGTATAAATAATTTTTTGCTTAATTTATTAATTAATAATTCATTTAGTGCATCGTAGAATTTTTAATATAACATTAGGAATATTTGGCCTACAAATAGAAAGGAGTTAGCATACCTTATAATATCAAAAAGAAAAAAAGAAATAGGAATGTGTAGGTTCTTGCTTTATTTCATGTGAAGCACTGAACTGTGTAGGTCATTCAGCGCACGAAGTGGTGCAGGCGCTGATCCTCCATCCACTTATTACAAAACAGATGTGCTACTAAATTGCATTCACTGATTTCATACAAAAGAGTGATTCAATGTTTTGGTAACAGTTTGGTGAAGATACTACAAATTTAGAATGTGTAACTCTTAACAGTTTGTTGCAGTTGATTTTATTTCTGTCTTGCAGGTCAAGCAGTATTGTCTACCATTAGCAACTATATGTCCTTATGGAGTAGATTACTCTTCTTATTGGCGTTAATGAATAACCTCATTGTTGCATTCTTCTATCCATATACTAGTCATTTGCCAAGTAAGTAATACAGTACATATATCTGATTTGTTTCATGTTATGAAATTTGCATGTGGTACTGGATGAGTATATTTTTATATTAATTTTTAAGCATCAGTTTTTTATTTCTTAGTTATTATTATACTTAATATTATCTGTTAGTAGAGCTCACATTTTATCTTAGAAAATATTTTCCCATCGAGGCAGGGTGACCCCGAAAAAGAAGAAACGCTTTCACAAAGTTTTTTCTTCTTTTTACATTCAGTAATTTATACAGGGAAAGGGTTACTTAAATTATAATGTGTATGGAAATTTATTTTCTCTATATTAATCGCCATATTTCCCACTTTCATAAAATAGTTTTGCGTTCACTCATATTGTATGGAAAAGTAATGTTTAAAAGTTAGGACCAGATTAGCACTTGGTCATTCATAATACTTTCCACAATGTTGTCATGGGCAACTAGTGCTATCAGACTTAGACAAATATTATTGGCATTTTCTTACCCTTTTATAGACCAAATGTACAGTACAATGTTTAGTTTTATAAAAAATTTAATCATTCATTCTCTTCATGGACTGAATCCACTTCTTCCTGTTAAAGTGTGCAATATAACATATTTTCTCAGTCATGTATTCACTCACCATAGCTGCAACCTCTTGGCCTTCATGGCCTCTGTCCCACATATTTACTTAAAACACTTTAATTACCATTTCATCATCAGTTTATTTATTATGTACATATCATCATACAGCACTCATTTTAATCTTAAGTCTCATATGTTTGTACTCCATATCATTCTATAACATAGTCATTTTTTTGTTTCATTGCTCCTAGACTATTCATCTCTGCTGCTCTGACTTAATTATTCTTGCCAAAATTTCTCCATTACTTACAGATGTTAACGGCCATGTGAATGGCTTGCTTTGGGTGGTTCTTCTGATAGCTCTTGCCATTGTTGTAAGTTTCCAACGGCGAATCTTCATGTATCTTCTGGGGGCCATATCAATAGTGCGCCTCATATTCTCTGTAGGACCTGAACCTACTCTTTGGCTACTGGGTAGTGCTAATGTAAGTTTTTTAACAAATACTTTTGTGTTTGACCTTTGTTATCCAAGGTAGTACATTAGATTTTTTATTTTTTGTCTTTTTATGCTAGTAGATTTTTTGTTTAACAGCACCACTTGTTGAATCAATGTTCATATTTATTCTTCACATGGTTCTGCTGAAAAAGACTTTCTCAGTCTTTATTTTGCTTTGTAGATTTACTCATGCCATTATCTTGCTTCCTTCTCTCCACTTTCTCTTTTCCATAGTCCATACTTATGTGTCACTCAGCCTTTCCACATTTATTTTTTACAAAACCAGCAGTCTTGTAAAAACCAACATGCATAGCTTCATAGCATATATTTCAAGTGCTCCTTCAGAAATAACATTGAAAGGTGACTGAAATATTAGAAGATTAAGTATGAGGTTGCCCTTCAAGGAATAGAAATTCTTGGCAAGAAAAGGCCATTAGCCCCTTAACTGTCAAACGTAGATCTACGTTCTTACTGCTAGCACTTCAAACATAGATCAGTGTTTTATTTTTCCTGCCTCTGAATTTGGGACGATTGGCCTGAGATGCCTGGTCAGTATAGAATGGGTCTTAACACTCGGTGTGTGCAGTATTAAAAAAATCTGGGACCACTTAGTACCTTGTGGGAGCACCAGTTCAATTGAGACCCAGCTAGAGCCAAGAACATGGCAAACACCAGGGATTCACTGATGTCATGTCTTATTAACACTACCCTTTTAATAGGAAACTGAAGTTGACCCCAAGTTTAGTGGCTTTGAGATGGATGTGGCCACAAGTGGTCAAGGAAATGTCAAAAACCTTGATAATAACCAGTGTGCAACATTTGTGCAACATCCTTTCAATTTTGATACCACTGGTAGTGTCTTCCTGCCAGACTGTCCTATAACCTATGCTCTAAGTAAAGAGAAATAATTCTGGAACGTGTGTAATACGTGTTTGGCAGGCCGGGTGGCTGGCTGATTGACTTTGGCTGTCTCTATCTCCATCTGTCTGTCTGTATCTCTGCTTGTCTGTATCTCTACCTGTCTCTGTCTATCTCTGTCTCTAACTCACTGGTATACATAAATAGTTATCATACATAGTGTAAATTACCTAGGATGTTTCAAAAAATTCAGACAAAGTGCTATGCAGTGCTTGTAGATGTAAGGCATAATAAGCACAACTGGCAAGTAATACGCATTGTTTAGGAATTAGACATGACAACTCTGCATCGTGTGTAATACCTATTAGTTCATGAGCGGCTCTCTGAGACAGAAAGAGAGACCAGTAGACAGAGACAGGAAGATAGACACACAGGCAGACAGATAAGCAGAGACAGAGATAAAGAGACAGAGCTAGACACAGACAAATAGATAGACAGACAAACAAACAGATAAACATGTTTATATGTAACAATGAAAACAAACAAAGCCAACGCAGTGTTTTTTTATTTTTATTATCACACCGGCCGATTCCCACCAAGGCAGGGTGGCCCGAAAAAGAAAAACTTTCACCATCATTCACTCCATCACTGTCTTGCCAGAAGGGTGCTTTACACTACAGTTTTTAAACGCAGTGTATGATCATCAAATGTCACTCCACTGCTGCACTGTCAGCAGTGGAGTGACACTCAGTCATACACTGTGCTTCAAGGAGTTTCATATATACTCCAGCATGTCTAAAACATTGCTGGGACCCATAAATTTATTTATTTATTTATTTATTTATTTATTTTATAATTTGAACATACATACAGAGGTACAAAAAAATACAGGTAAGAGCAGCATGCCAAAGCCACTTGCATGCATAGCATTACGGGCAGGCTTAAAATTAACTTAAGATTAGCTAAGTAATGATGTAATCAGTGATAAAACATTATTGTAAACAGATAACAATAAAGCACAAATGAGTATTACAAAGACAGGTCATATGGTTGCATGCATTGTTGTACATTCAGTAGAATGGAGTATTCTGTTAGGTAGTGTATTTTTAAAAAATAACAAGCAATAACAATAACAGCAAGCGTGCGTGAGCGTGTTAGATAGGAGTGAATGGAGACGAATGGTACTTGGGACCTGACGATCTGTTGGAGTGTGAGCAGGGTAATATTTAGTGAAGGGATTCAGGGAAACCGGTTATTTTCATATAGTCGGACTTGAGTCATGGAAATGGGAAGTATAATGCCTGCACTTTAAAGGAGGGGTTTGGGATATTGGCAGTTTGGAGGGATATGTTGTGTATCTTTACATGTATATGCTTCTAAACTGTTGTATTCTGAGCACCTCTGCAAAAACAGTGATAATGTGTGAGTGTGGTGAAAGTGTTGAATGATGATGAAAGTATTTTCTTTTTGGGGATTTTCTTTCTTTTTTGGGTCACCCTGCCTCAGTGGGAGATGGCCGACTTGTTAAAAAAAAAAAAAAAAAGTTAGATTGGGTCTTAGGTTTAACATTTATGTGATATAATTGTGAGAAACAATACTTTGTATATATTTCTAGACAATAGTAGGTGACCAAGGCAAGTGAAAATGTTCACTGTCAGTGTGTTTGTGACTATTTCAGTACCTAATATTAGTGTCAGAACAAACATTGGCTATGAAATCACAAGAACTACTGCAAATTGTAATTATCAGAACATAAAAATTATATAAATTAAAAAAATGAGAAAGGTATATTGGCAACACTTCTGCAAGTGGCAGGGCTCCATGTTGCCATCAGATGAGCATCCAGCACCAACTATGAAGTCTTATATCTCAGTAAGTTCTGACCCTAATTTTTTTTTTTTTTGGTTTTATTACACAGAAAATTGCCCACTTTATTTATTTTTTTTTTCCAACATACGTGTATTTGGAGCGCTGGGCGAGAAAACATAGATCTACGTTTGGACAGTTAATGGATTAAAATACGATAACATTGTTTGGGTGTTGTTGAAAGGAGATAGATGTTTTTGGTTAACCCTTTCATTGGCCGTGCCATAGTACTACAGCTTTGAGGTTACTGTCCATGCTATATTACTATGGCTTTGAGGTCACTGTCCGTGCCGCAGTACTACACTATGAGCTCAGCTCACTCAAATAAGCTGTGAGCAATAATTTTGGGCCTAGATGTGAGAGAATGGGTCTGTGTGGTAAGTGTGCATCGTATGAAAAATCCTGAAGCACACAGTGCATAATGAGAAAAAACTGCAACCGTGTTTTTGGTTTAAAACAGCGAATTTGTGGTGTATTTTCTTATGGATTTTACGGCGGTTGTATTCTCAGTTTCCTGGCCTTATTTAATAGAATGGAAGATATATTACAGAAATAGAAATGATTTTGATTGGTTTCAAGACTGAAAATAGCTTGAAATTGAGCTCAAAGTAGCAGAAATGTTAGATTTTTGCTGATATTCAAGAGGAAACAGACCACGTCACTCATCCATGATGTGTCCAAATGGTGGGGTCTAATATGTGTTCAGAAATGTGCTGATAGTATTTATACAATTATTACAATATTGCATAACAGTAAATCTTCTATTTTTTTGTGTATGAATAAAAAATCAAAATGGAATTCATGTGTAAAACCTGGGAACATAACTGATGAACTGAAGAAATGTTATTTTAGTGCCAGGAATGCCTGCATTGTTTATTCTGGACCCTATTTTGAAATTTGTGTGAAATTGGCTAAATTTCCAATTTCTGATCACTTGATTGGGTAGTTGAAATAGTTGATTGAGCAATTTCTTGTACTCAGTTGGTAAAATGAAAGACATACTTGTGAAATAGCCAAGAATTTGGTTGACTGGAACAATTTAATTGGCCTAAAATAAGACTCAAAGTGGGCAAAATTGCCAACGCATAAATATCACTGTCACAGTAAAATTTGCGAAAGTGTAATTTTGTCAGTTTTTCATCAAATTTTGCACTTTTTTTTTATTGCCTGCAGAAAAAGATTCTCAACCATTTTGTAAGAAAAAATAGCAAAAATTCTTGGACGGTGTGAACAAGTTTCACAGCGGGGGTCTGGACAGTGAAAGGGGTTAAAATGTGAATAATGGACAAAGTGAAATCCAGTAATAGAGCAGTAAGTGAAAGAATTTTTATAAGTAGTACTGTAAATTCATAAGAACTTTAAGAAAGAGTGATATTCACACTTGCCATGACATAGATTAAGGAGTGCAAAATGGAACTCGGTGAACCATTGATTAATATTTTTAATATATCTCTTCAAACAGGTGTAGTGTCTGGTATGTGGAAGATGGCCAATGTAATTCCTATTTTTAAAGCAAGGGACAAGTCATTACCATCAAATTACTAGTCAGTTGTAGCTGATAATATAAGAAGCCATCTTGATAAGCATAATTTGATTAATGATACTCAACATGGATTCAAGAAGGGCCGTTCTTGCTTAACTAGTTTACAAAGTTTCTTCAGTAAAGCTTTGGAGGTTGTTGATCATGAAAATGAATTCGATATTGTTTATTTGGATTTTAGTAAGACTTTTGATAGAGTACCACATCAGAGACTGTTAAAGAAAGTGGCAGCTCATGTCATTTGGGGAAAAGTTCTGGTATGGATTGAGTCATGACTCACTAATAGGAAACAGAGTGCGCATAAGTGGGGTTAAATCTGAGTGGGGATCTGTAACAAGTGGCATTCCACAGGGAACAGTTTTAGGCCCATTGTTGTTTTTTATATGTATAAATGACCTTGACGAGGGAATTACTAGTGATATAAGCAAATTTGCTGATGACACAAAGATAGGTAGAATAATTGATTCAGACGTAGATGTCACGGAACTTCAGGAGGATTTAGACAAACTCAGTTCATGGTCAGAAAAGTGGCAGATGCAGTTCAATGTAGATAAATGCAAAGTTCTAAAGCTCAGGAATGTTCATAACCCTAGCACCTACCAGCTTAATAATGTTGAACTTAGCCTTACAAAATGAGAAAAGGACTTGGGGGTTATGGTAAGCAGCAACCTTAAACCAAGACAGCAATGCCTAAGCGTGCATAATAAGGCAAATAGATTACTGGGATTTATATCAAGAAGTTGGTTTAGAAAGACACGTAAGCAAACACTATAACTTATTTATTAGAAAACGTTTCGGTCCTGGGACCTTGATCACTTCTAACATACAGAGGTAGAAAGACATTATATATATAGGCGGAGAGTGAGATGTGACGCACGTGACCTGAGGAATGTCATAAGAACATAAGAATGGAGGAACACTGTGGGCCAGTAGGCCTTCCACAGTGTTCCTCCATTCTTATGTTCTTATGACATTCCTCAGGTCACGTGCGTCACATCTCACTCTCCGCCTATATATATAATGTCTTTCTACCTCTGTATGTTAGAAGTGATCAAGGTCCCAGGACCGAAACGTTTTCTAATAAATATGTTATAGTGTTTGCTTACGTGTCTTTCTAAACCAACTTGTCGGTATTTATTACCAAGGTTTATACCATATCAAGAAGTGTAAGCAACAGAAGTCCAGCGGTTATACACCAGCTTTATACATCATTTGTAAGGCCTCACCTAGATTACACAGCTCAGTTCTGGTTTCCATTTTACAGAATGGATATAAATTTGTTAGAAAACGTTCAGTGACAAATGACAAAGTTAATACATAACATTAGAAATCTTTCGTGTGAAGAAAGATTGAAGTTCCTTAAATTACATTCATTTATAAGATGAAGAATGAGGGGAAACATGATCGAAGTGTATAAGTGGAAGATGGGTATTAACAAAGGTGATCTAAATAAGGTGTTGAGGATATCTCTCCATGAGAGAACCCACAATAATGGATTCAAATTAGACAAGTTTAGATTTAGAAAGGATATAGGAAAATATTGGTTTGGAAATAGGATAGTTGGTGAGTGGAACAGTCTGCCTAGTAGGGTTATTGAGGCCCTAAGTCTATCTTATGAAGATAGACTTAGAGCCTTGAATCTCCACTCTCTGGAGAGATGTAGAATGAGGGGAGATATCATCGAGGTGTATAAGTGGATGATGGGGATAAACAGAGGTGATTAATAATAAAGTACTGAGGGTGTCAAACCAGGTAAGAACCAGAAATAATGGGTTTAAGTTAGATAAATTTAGATATAGAAAGGACATAGGTATGTACTGGTTTTCAAACAGAGTTGTGGATATGTGGAACGATCTTTTGAGTAGGGTGATCGAGGCTAGGACCTTGGGCATCTTTAAAAAGAGATTGGACATATATATGAGTGGGAGGGGCTGGGTTTGATTGGTGTCATGGGTACAGGAGTAAATTTGTGGGTAGTTTAGGGTAGGAGTGGTTTTGATAAGGACCTGCCTTGTATGGGCCAGTAGGCCTTCTGCAGTGTTCCTCCATTCCTATGTTCTTATGAGTGAGAAGGGTTGGATTTGAGTGGGACTTGCACATGAGCATATAGAATTATCAAAGTTTATTGTTTGGGTAGCATTGAAAATTGGGTTGGGTAAATATTCTGTTAGTGGGATGGATTGTGAAGGATCTGCCTAGTATGGGCCAACAGGCCTGCTGTGGTGTTCCTCCTTCTTATGTTCTTATGTTATTAATCTGTTTTAGAATAATTCTTTTTTTATTTTACCAGGTGTTAATAAAAGGCATTCATCTTGTGAGTTTGATGGGTAACAAAGGAACATTTGCTAAGAGATTGGAACAGCAGGTGACGGACAGTGAGCTCCTCTACCACGTAATCTATCTTGTATTCTGTGTCCTTGGCCTATCTGTTCACCCCTTCTGTTACTCAGTTTTGGTAAGTCAGGTTTTTGACAGTATTATGTTTGTAGAATTATATCCACATGTAATTTATGTCAACTCATGGATTTTTATAATAATAATAGTAGGTTGGTAGACAGCAACCACCCAGGGAAGTACTACCGTCCTGCCAGATGACTGTGAAACAGAAACCTGTAACTGTTTTGCATGATGGTAGGATTGCTGTTTTCTTTTTCTGTCTCATAAACACGCTAGATAACAGGGATATCTTGCTACTCCTACTTACACTTTAGTCACACTTCACAGACACGCCCATGCATATATATATATACATACATCTAGGTTTTTCTCCTTTTTCTAAATAGCTCTTGTTCTTCTTTATTTCTTCTATTGTCCATGGGGAAGTGGAAAAGAATCTTTCCTCCGTAAGCCATGCGTGTCGTATGAGGCGACTAAAATGCCGGGAGCAGTGGGCTAGTAACCCCTTCTCCTGTAGACATTTACTAAAAAAGAGAAGAAGAAAAACTTTATAAAACTGGGATGCTTAAATGTGCGTGGATGTAGTGCGGATGACAAGAAACAGATGATTGCTGATGTTATGAATGAAAAGAAGTTGGATGTCCTGGCCCTAAGCGAAACAAAGCTGAAGGGGGTAGGGGAGTTTCAGTGGGGGGAAATAAATGGGATTAAATCTGGAGTATCTGAGAGAGTTAGAGCAAAGGAAGGGGTAGCAGTAATGTTGAATGATCAGTTATGGAAGGAGAAAAGAGAATATGAATGTGTAAATTCAAGAATTATGTGGATTAAAGTAAAGGTTGGATGCGAGAAGTGGGTCATAGTAAGCATGTATGCACCTGGAGAAGAGAGGAATGCAGAGGAGAGAGAGAGATTTTGGGAGATGTTAAGTGAATGTATAGGAGCCTTTGAACCAAGTGAGAGAGTAATTGTGGTAGGGGACCTGAATGCTAAAGTAGGAGAAACTTTTAGAGAGGGTGTGGTAGGTAAGTTTGGGGTGCCAGGTGTAAATGATAATGGGAGCCCTTTGATTGAACTTTGTATAGAAAGGGGTTTAGTTATAGGTAATACATATTTTAAGAAAAAGAGGATAAATAAGTATACAAGATATGATGTAGGGCGAAATGACAGTAGTTTGTTGGATTATGTATTGGTAGATAAAAGACTTGAGTAGACTTCAGGATGTACATGTTTATAGAGGGGCCACAGATATATCAGATCACTTTCTAGTTGTAGCTACACTGAGAGTAAAAGGTAGATGGGATACAAGGAGAATAGAAGCATCAGGGAAGAGAGAGGTGAAGGTTTATAAACTAAAAGAGGAGGCAGTTAGGGTAAGATATAAACAGCTATTGGAGGATAGATGGGCTAATGAGAGCATAGGCAATGGGGTCGAAGAGGTATGGGGTAGGTTTAAAAATGTAGTGTTAGAGTGTTCAGCAGAAGTTTGTGGTTACAGGAAAGTGGGTGCGGGAGGGAAGAGGAGCGATTGGTGGAATAATGATGTAAAGAGAGTAGTAAGGGAGAAAAAGTTACCATATGAGAAGTTTTTACAAAGTAGAAGTGATGCAAGGAGGGAAGAGTATATGGAGAAAAAGAGAGAGGTTAAGAGAGTGGTGAAGCAATGTAAAAAGAGAGCAAATGAGAGAGTGGGTGAGATGTTATCAACAAATTTTGTTGAAAATAAGAAAAAGTTTTGGAGTGAGATTAATGGACAAGTTAAGAAAGCCTAGAGAACAAAGGGATTTGTCAGTTAAAAATAGGAGAGGAGAGTTATTAAATGGAGAGTTAGAGGTATTGGGAAGATGGAGGGAATATTTTGAGGAATTGTTAAATGTTGATGAAGATAGGGAAGCTGTGATTTCGTGTATAGGACAGGGGAATAACATCTTGTAGGAGTGAGGAAGAGCCAGTTGTGAGTGTGGGGGAAGTTCGTGAGGCAGTAGGTAAAATAAAAGGGGGTAAGGCAGCCGGGATTGATGGGATAAAGATAGAAATGTTAAAAGCAGGTGGGGTATAAGTTTTGGAGTGGTTGGTGCAATTATTTAATAAATGTATGGAAGAGGGTTAAGGTACCTAGGGATTGGCAGAGAGCATGCATAGTTCCTTTGTATAAAGGCAAAGGGGATAAAAGAGAGTGCAAAATTATAGGGGGATAGTCTGTGAGTTATACCTGGTAAAGTGTATGGTAGAGTTATTAAATGAAAGAATTAAGAGTAAGACGGAGAATAGGATAGCAGATGAACAAGGAGGCTTTAGGAAAGGTAGGGGGTGTGTGGACCAGGTGTTTACAGTGAACATATAAGTGAACAGTATTTAGATAAGGCTAAAGAGGTCTTTGTGGCATTTATGGATTTGGAAAAGGCGTATGACAGGGTGGATAGGGGGGCAATGTGGCAGATGTTGCAAGTGTATGGTGTAGGAGGTAGGTTACTGAAAGCAGTGAAGAGTTTTTACGAGGATAGTGAGGCTCAAGTTAGAGTATGTAGGAAAGAGGGAAATTTTTTCCCAGTAAAAGTAGGCCTTAGACAAGGATGTGTGATGTCACCGTGGTTGTTTAATATATTTATAGATGGGGTTGTAAGAGAAGTAAATGCGAGGGTCTTGGCAAGAGGCATGGAGTTAAAAGATAAAGAATCACACACAAAGTGGGAGTTGTCACAGCTGCTCTTTGCTGATGACACTGTGCTCTTGGGAGATTCTGAAGAGAAGTTGCAGAGATTGGTGGATGAATTTGGTAGGGTGTGCAAAAGAAGAAAATTAAAGGTGAATACAGGAAAGAGTAAGGTTATGAGGATAACAAAAAGATTAGGTGATGAAAGATTGAATATCAGATTGGAGGGAGAGAGTATGGAGGAGGTGAATGTATTCAGATATTTGGGAGTGGACGTGTCAGCGGATGGGTCTATGAAAGATGAGGTGAATCATAGAATTGATGAGGGGAAAAGGGTGAGTGGTGCACTTAGGAGTCTGTGGAGACAAAGAACTTTGTCCTTGGAGGCAAAGAGGGGAATGTATGAGAGTATAGTTTTACCAACGCTCTTATATGGGTGTGAAGCATGGGTGATGAATGTTGCAGCGAGGAGAAGGCTGGAGGCAGTGGAGATGTCATGTCTGAGGGCAATGTGTGGTGTGAATAAAATGCAGAGAATTCGTAGTTTGGAAGTTAGGAGGAGGTGGGGGATTACCAAAACTGTTGTCCAGAGGGCTGAGGAAGGGTTGTTGAGGTGGTTCGGACATGTAGAGAGAATGGAGCGAAACAGAATGACTTCAAGAGTGTATCAGTCTGTAGTGGAAGGAAGGCGGAGTAGGGGTCGGCCTAGGAAAGGTTGGAGAGAGGGGTAAAGGAGGTTTTGTGTGCGAGGGGCTTGGACTTCCAGCAGGCATGCGTGAGCATGTTTGATAGGAGTGAATGGAGACAAATGGTTTTTAATACTTGACGTGCTGTTGGAGTGTGAGCAAAGTAACATTTATGAAGGGGTTCAGGGAAACCGGCAGGCCGGACTTGAGTCCTGGAGATGGGAAGTACAGTGCCTGCACTCTGAAGGAGGGGTGTTAATGTGTTGCAGTTTAAAAACTGTAGTGTAAAGCACCCTTCTGGCAAGACAGTGATGGAGTGAATGATGGTGAAAGTTTTTCTTTTTCGGGCCACCCTGCCTTGGTGGGAATCGGCCAGTGTGATAATAATAATAATAATATTTTGACAACTGACTTTTGTCATTCAGTGCAGTATTTCACTTTGCTAGTTACTGTAGTTTGAACAGTTTTCTACTTGGAATTAAATGGTATAAAATACCGACACAATGGAAATATAAACACTTAAGCAGTATAATGTGATCCTTTATTGACAATGTTTCGCCCACGCAGTGGGCTTTATCAAGTCACAAACAGATCTACCTGGGTAAGAGGTATGTGAGTATTTATAGGATGGCATCATGTGTAGAATGCTGGTTCAGGTGGAGAATGCTGCATGTGACAGTCTTCCGATAAGGGCGATAGAGTCTAGAACCTTGGGTAGCTTTAAAAAGAGATTGGATAAGTATATGAGTAGACCTTCTGCAGTGTTCCTCCATTCTTACATTCTATGTGGAATAGCGATGAAGTTTCTTGGTAAGGGGTTCAGCTATGTTATAGAAGCCATTGTTCTGGTTGAAGTTTTTGGATATACAGATAAGTGATGATTCCAGGATTCTTCGGTACTGAGTGTAGTCCTCTCTGGTGATACATCTTGTGTTTCTGTAGTTGATTAAATGGTTGTGTGAATTTCGGTGTTGAACACAGGCATTCCTTGGATCGTCAGATTTGCCTGCATACTGATGTTCTGAAATACGTGTTTGGAGGTCTCTGGATGTTTCGTAAATTATATGTCGGCGAAACATCCAGAGACCTCCAAACACGTATTTCAGAACACCAGTACGCAGGCAGATCTGACGATCCAAGGAATGCCTGTGTTCAACACCAAAATTCACACAACCATTTAATCAACTACAGAAATGCAAGACTTGTTGCTAGAGAGGACAACACTCAGTACTGAAGAATCCTGGAATCATCACTTATCTGTATATCCAACAACTTCAACCAGAACAATGGCTTCTATAACATAGCTGAACCCCTTGCCAAGAAACTTATTCATCGCTATCCCACATAGAACATAAGAATAGAGGAACACTGCAGATCTTCTCACATACTTATCCAGTCTCTTTTTAAAGCTACCCAAGGTTCTAGACTCTATCACCCTTATAGGAAGACTGTCACATGCACCATTCTCTACCTAAACCAGCATTCTGCACCTGACACTATCCTATAAATACTCACGTACCTTTTACCCAGGTAGATCTGTTTGTGACTTGATAAAGCCCACTGCATGGGTGAAATGCTGTCAATAAAGGATCATATTATACTGCTTAAGTGTTTATATTCCAGTTTTCTACTTCATTAATCTTTCTGTCTTTGATGCATCATTTACATTCAGTGCTATTATCAAAAAATTATAATAATAATTATTATTATTGTAGGTAGTAGGTTGGTAGACAGCAACCACCCAGGGGAGGTACTACTGTCCTCCCAAGTGAGTGTAAAACGAAAGCCTGTAATTGTTTTACATGATGGTAGGATTGCTGGTGTCATTTTTGTCTGTTTCATAAACACGTAAGATTTCAGGTACGTCTTGCTACTTCTACTTACACTTAGGTCACACTACACATACATATACAAGCATATATATACACACCCCTCTGGGTTTTCTTCTATTTTCTTTCTAGTTCTTGTTTATTTCCTCTTATCTCCACGGGGAAGTGGAACAGAATTCTTCCTCCGTAAGCAATGCATGTTGTAAGAGGTGACTAAAATACCGGGGGCAAGGGGCTAGTAACCCTTTCTCTTGTATAAATTACTAAATTTAAAAAGAGAAACTTTCGTTTTTCTTTTTGGGCCACCCTGCCTTGGTGGGATATGGTTGGTTTGTTGAAAAAAAAAATAATAATTATTATATGAGTGTGAAGCATGGGTTATAAATGTTGCAGCAAGATGTAGGCTGGAGGCAGTGGAGATTTCATGTCTAAAGGCAATGTATTATGTAAATGTTACCCAGAGAATTTGTAGTGTGGGAATTAGGAGGTGTGGAGTCACAAAAAAGTATTACTCAAGAGGGCTGAAGAGGAGTTATTGAGATGGTTTGGCCATTGAGAGAGGATGGATCAAAATAGAATGACTTGGTGTATAAATCTGTAGTGGAGGGGAGGAGGGGTAGGGGTCATCCTAGGAAAGGATGGAGGGATGGGGTAAGAGATATTTTGTGTGCAATTGGCCTGGACATGCAGCAGCCATGTGTGAGCATGTTAGATAGAAGTGAATTCCAGGTAAATAGTTTTTGGGACCTGACAAGCTGTTGGAGTGTGAACAGGGTAATATTTTGTGAAGGGATTCAAGGAAACTGGTTAGCCAAACTTGAGTCCTGGAAGTGGGAAGTACAGTGCCTGCACTTTAAAGGAGGGGTTTGGGATGTTGGCTGTTTGGAGTGACATCTAAACTGTCGTATTTGGGCACCTCTGCAAAGACAGTGGATATGTGTGAATGATGGTGAAAGTGTTGGATGATGCTGAAAGTGTTTCTTTCTTTTTTGGGTCACCCTTCCTCAGTGGGAGACAGCCATTGTGTTGAAAAAATAATCATAATTATAATAATAATACTGGTAAATGTAGGTAGTAGGTTGGTATACAGCAACCACCCAGGGAGGTACTACCGTCCTGCCAAGTGAATGTAAAACGAAAGCCTGTAATTGTTTTACATGATGGTAGGATTGCTGGTGTCTTTTGTCTGTCTCATACATATGCAAAATTACAGGTATGTCTTGCTACTTCTACTTACACTTAGGTCACACTACACATACATGTACAAGCATATGTATACACACCCCTCTGGGTTTTCTTCTATTTTCTTTCTAGTTCTTGTTTATTTCCTCTTATCTCCATGGGAAAGTGGAACAGAATTCTTCCTCCGTAAGCCATGCGTGTTGTAAGAGGCAACTAAAATGCCGGGAGCAAGGGGCTAGTAACCCCTTCTCCTGTATATATTACTAAATGTAAAAGGAGAAACTTTCGTTTTTCCTTTTGGGCCACCCCGCCTCGGTGGGATGCAGCCGATGTGTTGAAAGAAAGAAAGAATACTGGTAAAGTGTACAGAAAGAATTATTATTGAAGGTTAGGAGTAAGATGGAAAGTAGACTTGCAGAGGAACAGAGAGGATTGAAGAAGGATAAGGGCTGTGTAGATCAAATGTTTCATTGAAGTATACAAGTGAGCAGTATTTAGGTAAAGGTACAGAGTTGACTCGACTTATATGTTGCACTTATGGATTGAGAATAGGGATTTGATAGAGTAGGTTGGGAATCCATGTGGTAATTGTTGCGTATGTACAGAATAGGAAATAGGTTACTGAAATAATTTTTTTTTTTTTAATGCTGATAGAGGCTCAGGTTAGGGTATGTATTTGGGAGGGAGGGACTGTTTCCCAGTGAAATTTGTGCTTAGACAGGAATGTACATCACCACATTGGTTGCTTAACATATTTATAGATAGGATTGTGAAAGAAGTAAATACTGGGGTATTGAGGAGTGGGATGGGATTAAAAGATATTTAATATGATAAAGTGAGGGTTGTCACAATTGCTTTTTGCTGAACATGATTCTTTTGGGAGATTCTGAAGGAAAGCTACAAAGGTTAGTGAACAGATTTGGGAGGGTATGTGAGAATAGGAAATTAAAATATGAACATAAAAAAGAGCAACATGATGAGGGTAACAAAAAGACAAGGTAATGATAGATTTAATATCAGATTGGAGGGAGTGAGCATGGAAGAAGTGGATGTATTCAGAAATTTGGGAATGGCTATGTCAACAGATGAGTCTATGAAAGAAGAGGTGAACCATAGAATTGATGGTGGGGGAAAAAGAAAGGTGATGTGTTGAGACAATATAGGGAATGTAAATAAATGGTATAAAATACTGACACAATGGAAATATAAACACATAGTCCTCCCCACCAACTCCATTTCCAAACACATTTCCAACATTTTTTCCAGTACCTCATTCCAAGTATCTATCTCCACATCCACCACCATCAAGGACATTACCAGTAATAGGCAGGACAAGCTTCAATCCTCTGCAGGGATGTACATAATCCTTTATAACAACTGCAGCAAATTATACGTGGGCAAAACGTCCAGAGACCTCCAAACACGTATTTCAGGACACCACCAGTATGCAGGCAGATCTGATGATTCAAGGAATGCCTGTGTTCAGCACCGAAATTCACACAACCATTTAATCAACTCCAGAAACACAAGACTTATCGCCAGAGAAGACAACACTCAATACCAAAGAATCCTGGAATCATCACTTATCTGTATATCCAACAACTTCAACCAAAACAACGGCTTCTGTAACATAGCTGAACCCCTTGCCAAGAAACTTCTTCATCGGTATCCCACATAGAACATAAGAATGGAGGAACACTGCAGAAGGTCTACTCATATACTTGTCCAATTTCTTTTTAAAGCTACCCAAAGTCCTAGACTATCACCCTACTCGGAAGATTGTCACATGCAGCATTCTCCACCTGACTCCATCCTATAAATACTCACGTACCTTTCACCCAAGTAGATCTGTTTGTGATTTGATAAAGCCCACTGTGTGGGTGAAACGTCAAGGAAGGATTACATTATGCTGCTTATGTGTTCATATTTCCAAAAGGGAATGTACCAGAGTATAGTGGCACTAACACTTTTTGTATGAGTGTGAGACATGGGCTTGAACATTTCAGCAAGGAGGCTAGAGATCAGTGTGAGATGTGAATAGTTTGAAGTGTAGAAATTAAAAGATAGTGTTGGGTCACCAAGAGTATAATTCAGAGAGCTGAGGAAAAATTAGCAAGGTGGTTTGAACATTTCAAGAGGGATTGGATGATGGTGTATAAATTTGGGGGTAGGAGGGGGGAAAGGGGTCATTCCAGGAACACCTAAAAGGAGGCATTAAGTTTTAGAGGATTGTGTGAGCATGTTAAATAGGAGTGAATTTAGACGAGTTGTTTTAATGGACATGCTGTTGGAGTGTAAGCAAGGTAACATTTATGGAGGGTTCAGGGAAATTGGTTAGCTGAACATGAGTCCTGGAGGTACAAAATAGTGCCATCACTCTGGAGGGATGGGTTGGGATGTTGCAGTTGGAGAGTTATATGAATTGTGACTCAGCACACTTCTGGCAAGACAGTGATTTAATGAATGATGGTGAGTGTGCTTTCTCCTTTGAATCACCCTTTCTCAGTGGTGTGAGACAACCAGTGAAGTAAAAAGAAAAAAGATAATACTGTAATATTAATAATAATACAAAATTCTCAGATTAGTGCCATACTTGCATTTGGTGAATGTCCTAAAGGGACTCTTGATTGATGGTCTCTCTATTCAAGGAATTGGAGCTTTTCTCCCTTCCTTAAGTTAGACCTAATTAATCTCACCTCTCCAGTTCTCCAGCTGCTGTATAACCCTTATTGGTATAGTTCTTCCCCATAATATAATAATAATCTTAAAGCTACTTGTCTTACCACTCCTCAGAGGTGAGGAGACAGGGACAGGTATATAAAGTCATTAATATAATTTTTATTGCTGATTTGATCTATCAGTATATGCATGAATTTTTAATTTTCTTTATTTCTGTAGCTCTTTGATGTGGTATATCGAGAGGAAACCTTACTGAATGTGATGAGGTCAGTAACACGCAATGGCTGGTCCATCGTCCTGACAGCAGCATTGGCCCTCATATTGGTGTATATGTTCTCCATCATTGGTTACATGTTCTTCAGGAATGATTTTATAGTGGATGTTACCGATAATGATATTGATTGGGGTAGGTATTTTTTTTTGCTCAACTTTTGATTTCTCAGATATGGGTGTCATAAATTGTTTACAGAATTCTGTATGATATATATGAACTTATATCATAATTAAGGTTTTTGACTGCTGTTTCATCACTAATTAGATTTACTAACAAATTTCAGATACAATTCAAAGTCACATTAACAAGCGTGTTGAAAATTACGTCTCAACTTCCTTGTCTGTTAGACAAAAGGAATTGGAAACATGTGAGGTTGGGGTAGACTGCACACAAGATGATCATCATGTCCTGGATCTAAGAGACCGTGAGTTATAGAATTTTTCGTTGTATTAATTCTAACAACTTAAACATTTTGATGAAATTTATATTTTAAACTCTTTTTGAGAACTTTAAATTGTGGATTTGATTATTTTTTATGTTCTCTAATTATTTAAACTTTATTCACCTTTTGCTTACAGTTGTTGAAGGTATAACAAAAGAAGTAATGGCTGAAGTTGAGGATGCAAAGGAAGAAGCCTGCTCAACTCTTCTTATGTGTATAGTAACCACGCTCAATCATGGACTTCGAAGTGGAGGGGGCATTGGAGACATTTTGCGGCCTCCATCAAATAAAGTAAGTTATCTAATTGCCTGCATGTCTCACTCTAAAGGCTCTTTTTAACTCTCCTCCCAAAGTTCTAAAGCATACAACCATATTCTTTTGTGCATAATGTTCAGCATGTCAAGTAATAGTTTTTTGTGCCTCCGTAGGGCTCTGAACTCATGTTCATTACATACAGTGACTTTGCAATAATTTTGGTGATCTGTGATTGTGCTTTGTTTTAGCAAACTGCTGAAGAGCAATCCTGTAGAGCATGATTAAATGCACACACTTTTCATATCTTTATTATTTTCTTCAAATCTTTGCCATACATTATAAAAATAAATTTTTGCTGTGAATATGCAAACTTCAGATACATTAATTATGTTTTTGTCTGCTAGCATCACATGTGATCTAGTATGCCAATAAAACACCATTTTAAATATATTTAGTAATGACTCCAGTTTTGTATTAAAGAGCCTTTAAAAATACATTTGGGAATATAATTTGCATTGATATATTGTACAATATGTTTATAGAGATTTTTTTATTATTATCACACCGGCCGATTCCCACCAAGGCAGGGTGGCCCGAAAAAGAAAAACTTTCACCATCATTCACTCCATCACTGTCTTGCCAGAAGGGTGCTTTACACTACAGTTTTTAAACTGCAACATTAACACCCCTCCTTCAGAGTGCAGGCACTGTACTTCCCATCTCCAGGACTCAAGTCCGGCCTGCCGGTTTCCCTGAATCCCTTCATAAATGTTACTTTGCTCACACTCCAACAGCACGTCAAGTATTAAAAACCATTTGTCTCCATTCACTCCTATCAAACACGCTCACGCATGCCTGCTGGAAGTCCAAGCCCCTCGCACACAAAACCTCCTTTACCCCCTCCCTCCAACCCTTCCTAGGCCGACCCCTACCCCGCCTTCCTTCCACTACAGACTGATACACTCTTGAAGTCATTCTGTTTCGCTCCATTCTCTCTACATGTCCGAACCACCTCAACAACCCTTCCTCAGCCCTCTGGACAACAGTTTTGGTAATCCCGCACCTCCTCCTAACTTCCAAACTACGAATTCTCTGCATTATATTCACACCACACATTGCCCTCAGACATGACATCTCCACTGCCTCCAGCCTTCTCCTCGCTGCAACATTCATCACCCACGCTTCACACCCATATAAGAGCGTTGGTAAAAACTATACTCTCATACATTCCCCTCTTTGCCTCCAAGGACAAAGTTCTTTGTCTCCACAGACTCCTAAGTGCACCACTCACTCTTTTTCCCTCATCAATTCTATGATTCACCTCATCTTTCATAGACCCATCCGCTGACACGTCCACTCCTAAATATCTGAATACGTTCACCTCCTCCATACTCTCTCCCTCCAATCTGATATTCAATCTTTCATCACCTAATCTTTTTGTTATCCTCATAACCTTACTCTTTCCTGTATTCACCTTAATTTTCTTCTTTTGCACACCCTACCAAATTCATCCACCAATCTCTGCAACTTCTCTTCAGAATCTCCCAAGAGCACAGTGTCATCAGCAAAGAGCAGCTGTGACAACTCCCACTTTGTGTGTGATTCTTTATCTTTTAACTCCACGCCTCTTGCCAAGACCCTCGCATTTACTTCTCTTACAACCCCATCTATAAATATATTAAACAACCACGGTGACATCACACATCCTTGTCTAAGGCCTACTTTTACTGGGAAAAAATTTCCTTCTTTCCTACATACTCTAACTTGAGCCTCACTATCCTCGTTAAAAACTCTTCACTGCTTTCAGTAACCTACCTCCTACACCATACACTTGCAACATCTGCCACATTGCCCCCCTATCCACCCTGTCATACGCCTTTTCCAAATCCATAAATGCCACAAAGACCTCTTTAGCCTTATCTAAATACTGTTCACTTATATGTTTCACTGTAAACACCTGGTCCACACACCCCTACCTTTCCTAAAGCCTCCTTGTTCATCTGCTATCCTATTCTCCGTCTTACTCTTAATTCTTTCAATTATAACTCTACCATACACTTTACCAGGTACACTCAACAGACTTATCCCCCTATAATTTTTGCACTCTCTTTTATCCCCTTTGCCTTTATACAAAGGAACTATGCATGCTCTCTGCCAATCCCTAGGTACCTTACCCTCTTCCATACATTATTAAATAATTGCACCAACCACTCCAAAACTATATCCCCACCTGCTTTTAACATTTCTATCTTTATCCCATCAATCCCGGCTGCCTTACCCCCTTTCATTTTACCTACTGCCTCACGAACTTCCCCCACACTCACAACTGGCTCTTCCTCACTCCTACAAGATGTTATTCCTCCTTGCCCTATACACGAAATCACAGCTTCCCTATCTTCATCAACATTTAACAATTCCTCAAAATATTCCTTCCATCTTCCCAATACCTCTAACTCTCCATTTAATAACTCTCCTCTCCTATTTTTAACTGACAAATCCATTTGTTCTCTAGGCTTTCTTAACTTGTTAATCTCACTCCAAAACTTTTTCTTATTTTCAACGAAATTTGTTGATAACATCTCACCCACTCTCTCATTTGCTCTCTTTTTACATTGCTTCACCACTCTCTTAACTTCTCTCTTTTTCTCCATATACTCTTCCCTCCTTGCATCACTTCTACTTTGTAAAAACTTCTCATATGCTAACTTTTTCTCCCTTACTACTCTCTTTACATCATCATTCCACCAATCGCTCCTCTTCCCTCCTGCACCCACTTTCCTGTAACCACAAACTTCTGCTGAACACTCTAACACTACATTTTTAAACCTACCCCATACCTCTTCGACCCCATTGCCTATGCTCTCATTAGCCCATCTATCCTCCAATAGCTGTTTATATCTTACCCTAACTGCCTCCTCTTTTAGTTTATAAACCTTCACCTCTCTCTTCCCTGATGCTTCTATTCTCCTTGTATCCCATCTACCTTTTACTCTCAGTGTAGCTACAACTAGAAAGTGATCTGATATATCTGTGGCCCCTCTATAAACATGTACATCCTGAAGTCTACTCAACAGTCTTTTATCTACCAATACATAATCCAACAAACTACTGTCATTTCGCCCTACATCATATCGTGTATACTTATTTATCCTCTTTTTCTTAAAATATGTATTACCTATAACTAAACCCCTTTCTATACAAAGTTCAATCAAAGGGCTCCCATTATCATTTACACCTGGCACCCCAAACTTACCTACCACACCCTCTCTAAAAGTTTCTCCTACTTAGCATTCAAGTCCCCTACCACAATTACTCTCTCACTTGGTTCAAAGGCTCCTATACATTCACTTAACATCTCCCAAAATCTCTCTCTCTCCTCTGCATTCCTCTCTTCTCCAGGTGCATACACGCTTATTATGACCCACTTCTCACATCCAACCTTTACTTTAATCCACATAATTCTTGAATTTACACATTCATATTCTCTTTTCTCCTTCCATAACTGATCATTTAACATTACTGCTACCCCTTCCTTTGCTCTAACTCTCTCAGATACTCCAGATTTAATCCCATTTATTTCCCCCCACTGAAACTCTCCTACCCCCTTCAGCTTTGTTTCGCTTAGGGCCAGGACATCCAACTTCTTTTCATTCATAACATCAGCAATCATCTGTTTCTTGTCATCCGCACTACATCCACGCACATTTAAGCAACCCAGTTTTATAAAGTTTTTTCTTCTCTTTTTTAGTAATTGTATACAGGAGAAGGGGTTACTAGCCCATTGCTCCCGGCATTTTAGTCGCCTTCATACGACACGCATGGCTTACGGAGGAAAGATTCTTTTCCACTTCCCCATGGACAATAGAAGAAATAAAAAAGAACAAGAGCTATTTAGAAAAAGGAGAAAAACCTAGATGTATGTATATATATATATGCATGTGCGTGTCTGTGAAGTGTGACCAAAGTGTAAGTAGGAGTAGCAAGATATCCCTGTTATCTTAGCGTGTTTATGAGACAGAAAAAGAAACCAGCAATCCTACCATCATGCAAAACAGTTACAGGTTTTTGTTTCACAGTCATCTGGCAGGACGGTAGTACTTCCCTGGGTGGTTGCTGTCTACCAACCTACTACCTAGATTTATTGTATGAATTTAACTTTTATACCAAAGAACTAAATGTTAATACAGTAGGACCCCCGTTTCCACGGGAGATGCATTCCAAGGACCTGCCATGGATACTGAAACCACAGATAGTAGCAAACCCTACATATAAGTCCTTTACATAGCTATTATAAAATTTAATTGATAAATTATGCACAATAAGTGGAGAATTGTCACTTTTTCACTGATGAGAAGCACTTCACGGCTTCTCTGAGGCTTTGAAGAACTGCCAGTTTCTTGACTTTTTCTCTTTGGGGCCATTATTATGCAGAATTAAGAAGTATGTTTGAGCTACAGTAAACCGTGGATAACTGAATTCACCGAATCAGTGAATATGGGGGTTCTACTGTATATTTAATTAGAAAATCCCCTTCAAGGTAGGTACTGTGATGGTGGTGAGGGGCTCTTGCTCCAAAGAATTGGGCATGTTCTTCCCTTGGATTAAACACAGCTGCCTTTCAGTCTCTCAATGCTATATATGTATGACCCCTGTAAGCTTAGTGCTTCATTATAATAATAATATGGAATGCTGTTACACAGTATCACATTTCAAGCACTTCAAATGGCTTTTTTCTGGCAAAGGGTTCCTCTGTAAGGTGAACCCTCAGAGGTTACTGGACTGATGGAGCAGGGAGGTGTCCATTAATGCTGATTGTTTGTTAAATCCAAATTATGATAATATTTTTACATCATAACAGTGTAATCAAAGTAGAATGACATGGAGAGCGTATAAGTCTGTAGGGGAAGGAAAGCGGAGTAGGGGTCGTCCTTGAAAAGGTTGGAGGGAGGGGGTAAAGGAAGTTTTGTGGCGAGGGGCTTGGACTTCCAGCAAGCATGCGTGAGCGTGTTAGATAGGAGTGAATGGAGATGAATGGTTTTTGAGACCTGACGAGCTGTTGGAGTGTGAGCAGGGTAATATTCAGTGAAGGGATTAAGGGAAACCGGTTATTTTTATAAGCCGGACTTGAGTACTGGAGTGAATGATGGTGAAAGTTTTTCTTTTTTGGGCCACCCTGCCTTGGTGGGAATCGGCCAGTGTGATAATAAAAAATAACTTGAGTACTGGAAATGGGAAGTACAATGCCTGCACTTTAAAAGAGGGGTTTGGGATATTGGCAGTTTGGAGGGTTATGTTATATATCTTTATATATGCTTCTAAACTGTTGTATTTGGGTGCCTCAGCAAAGACAGTGATTATGTATGAGTGAGGTGAAAGTGTTGAATGATGATGAAAGTATTTCCTTTTTGGGGATTTTCTTTCTTTTTGTGTCATCCTACCTCAGTGGGAGACAGCCGACTTGTTAAAAAAAAAAAAAGCGACACAATTTTTTTTAATTTAGAGGACTAAGTCAGTTAAATCCAGACATAATTTTACTTAACAGACTGCAATAATAACAGGTAATTCTGGATTTAATGGACTTTGTCTATTTAATTTGTAATGGTGTGTAAAAATAATGCACAATTGATTTAACAGGCAAGAGTCCATCAAATCTTAAATTAATTTAGCCAGCGGACTGTAAAAATTAATGAACAGTTCCGAATTTAGTAGACTTTGTTTTTTCTGAATGTTATCTGGACACAGAGCTTGTATGTTAAATCCAAAGTCTGTTTTTTCTGAATGTTATCTGGACACAGAGCTTGTATGTTAAATCCAAAGTCCATTAAATAAGGGTTTCTTAAATTGTGGTTTTTAATTTTCATAATTCATACATTATATTTTATGATTCCAAAATTAGTGTTTATCTTATTATAGGAAAGCTTGTTTGCTCCCCGTGTCATCTATGATCTTCTGTTCTTCTTCGTCGTCATCATCATTGTATTGAACCTCATCTTTGGTGTTATTATTGACACCTTTGCCGATCTCAGAAGTGAAAAGCAAAATTCAGAAGAAATACTGAAAAATTCTTGCTTTATATGTGGTAAGTAAATCTTTCTTACACAGTAACATTTTTAAATATATTTAATTTAACCCTTTCAGGGTTTCCGACGTACTAGTACGGCTTACGCACCAGGGTTATTGACGTACTAGTACGCGTAAATTCTAGCACCTTCAAATCTAGCGAGAGAAAGCTGGTAGGCCTACATATGAAAGAATGGGTCTTTGTGGTCACTGTGCACAGTATAAAAAAATCCTACAGCACACAAGTGCGTAATGAGAAAAAAAAAGCTTTGACCGTGTTTTTGGTTTAAAACAGCGACTTTGCACTGTATTTTCATATGGTATTTATGGTTGTATTCTAGTTTTCCTGGTCTCATTTTATAGAATGGAAGACATATTACAGAAATTGAGATGATTTTGATTGGTTTTACAATGAAAAGTACAGTGGACCTCCGGTTCGCGATACTAATCCATTCCTGAGAGCTCATCGTAAACCAAAAATATCGGAAAGCGAATCAATTTTCCCCATAAGAAATAATGGAAATCAAATTAATCCGTGCAAGACACCCAAAAGTATGAAAAAAAAAACTTTTACCACATGAAATATTAAGTTTAATGCAATAGAATAGTAATTACAATAACAACAATAACAATAAATAACAATAAATAACGAAAGAATAATTGACACTTACCTTTAATGAAGATCTGGTGATGATTGATGGGATGGGAGGAGGGAAGAGTGTGGATGGTGTTAGCATTTAGAAGGGGAATCCCCCTCCAATAGGACTTGAGGTAGCAAGTCCTTTTCTGGGGTTACTTCCCTTCTTCTTTTAATGCCACTAGGACCAGGTTGAGAGTCACTGGACCTCTGTCGCACAACATATCTGTCCATAGAGGCCTGTACCTCTTGTTTCTTTATGACTTTCCTAAAGTGGTTCACAACATTGTCAGTGTAATAGTCACCAGCATGGCTTGCAATAGCTGTCTGAGGGTGATTTTCATCCATGAAGGTTTGCACCTCAAGCCACTTTGCACAGATTTCCTTAATCTTTGAAGTAGGCAACTTCTTCAATTTCTCTCTCCCCTCCTCCGAAGCAATTTCCTCAGGTGTGGCCTCTTGCTGTTGAAGTTGATCTAGCAGCTCATCAGTGGTTAGTTCTTCATTGTCCTCCTCCACCAACTCTTCCACATCCTCCCCACTAACCTCCAACCCCAAGGACTTTCCCAATGCCACAATGGATTCCTCAACTGGCATAATCCTCTCAGGGTTAGCCTCAAACCCTTCGAAATCCCTTTTGTCTACACATTCTGGCCACAGTCTTTTCCAGGCAGAGTTCAAGGTCCTCTTAGTCACTCCCTCCCAAGCCTTACCTGTAAGTTTTACACAATTGAGGATAGTAAAGTGATCCTTCCAAAACTCCTTTAGAGTCAATTGAGTTTCTGTGGTCACTTCAAACCACCTTTCAAACATAGCTTTTGTGTACAGTTTCTTGAAGTTGGAAATGACCTGCTGGTCCATGGGCTGCAGGAGAGGAGTGGTATTAGGAGGCAAAAACTTGACCTTAATGAAACTCATGTCCCCACAAAGTCGCTCTGACAAGTCTGCAGGATGACCAGGGGCATTGTCTAATACCAGGAGGCACTTAAGGTCTAATTTCTTTTCAATTAGGTAATTTTTCACACTGGAGGCAAATGCATGGTGTAACCAGTCATAGAAAAAGTCCCTAGTGACCCATGCCTTACTGTTTTCCCTCCACAGCACACACAAATTAGCCTTGAGGACATTCTTTTGCCTGAATGCTCTGGGAGCTTCTGAGTGATACACCAATAAAGGCTTCACTTTGCAATCACCACTGGTATTGGAACACATCAACAGAGTAAGCCTGTCTTTCATAGGCTTATGTCCTGGGAGTGCCTTTTCCTTCTGAGTAATGTAGGTCCTGCTTGGTAATTTCTTCCAACACAGGCCTCTTTTGTCACAATTAAACACTTGTTCAGGTTTCAATCCTTCAGCCTCTATGTACTCCTTGAATTCATGCACATATTTTTCAGCCGCTTTGTGGTCTGAACTGGCAGCCTCACCATGCTTAATCACACTATGTATACCACTACGATTCTTAAATCTTTCAAACCAATCTTTGCTGGCCTTAAATTCACTCACATCACCACTAGTTGCAGGCAATTTTTTTACCAAATCGTCATGCAACTGCCTAGCCTTTTCACAAATGATTGCTTGAGAGATGCTATCTCCTGCTATGTGTTTTTCATTTATCCACACCAATAACAGTCTCTCAACATTTTCTAACACTTGCGGTCACTGTTTCGTAATCACAGTTGCACCTTTTGCAAGAACAGCTTCCTTGATTGCCATTTTCTTGCTCACTATAGTAGAGATGGTTGATTGGGGTCTACTATACAACCTGACCAGCTCCGACACACGCACTCCACTTTCGTTCTTTGCAATTATCTCTTTCTTCATTTCAACAGTCGTTAGCACCCTTTGTCTCGAAGGGTTGGCAATGGGAGCTTTCTTGGGGCCCATGGTGACTTATTTTGCAAAAACAGGCACCAAAAACAGTGATAATATGGAATGTACCGAATGTATCCTTAGATGCGCACACACTGGCTGGCTTGTAAACACTGGCACACACGGGGCAGTTCAGGCCACACATGGACACGTCTCGTACGAACCACATCGCATACCAGGTTTTGTATCGGGAAGCGAGGCAATTTTTGTGCGATATAATGCATCAGTTACCGGATTTATCGGATACCGATAGCATCGCGAACCGGGGGTCCACTGTACCTTGAAATTGAGCTCAAAGTAGCAGAAATGTTCAATTTTTGCCAAAGTTCGAAGGTAAACAAATCATGCCACACGTCCAATACACTCCAACTGATGAGTCTAATATTCTTTCACAAGTGCACTGAAATTATTTATACCATTTCTACACTAATGCAGTAGTCTGCATAGCAGTAAATCTTCTATTTTTTGTGAGAATAAAAATTCAAAGTGGAAAGCAAAAGAGATGTAAGAGGGGCCTGGGGACGTGACTAATGAACAGAGGAAATGTTATTTTAGTACCAGGAATGTCTGTCTTGTTTATTCTGGATCCTATTTGGAAATTACTAATTTCTGACCACTTTATTGGATAGTTGAAATAAGTAAATGGGTGGTTTCTTGTACTCATTCGATAGAAGAAATGGAGTTCTAGCAAAATAATTATGATTTGTGTCCACTAATACAATGGAATTGGCTGAAAATAGGGCTCAAATTGGGTGAAATCGCTGATGCGTAAACATTGTCGAGACTGCTAACTTTGCGAGATCATAATTCCGTAAGTTTTCCAAAATTTCATACTTTTAGTGTCATTATGATCGGGTAAAGATTCTCTAACTTTTCATGAGAATTTTTTTTTTTTTTTTCCAAAAAAAATTTTGACCCTGAGAACAAGTTTAGGAGAGGGCCTCTCAACCCTGAAAGGGTAAAAAATATTTATTTTAGAAATTTGAATTCAATTTTAATCTTATTATCTTTTTTTAACACATTGGCCATTTCCCACTGAGGCAGGGTGACTCAAAAAGAAAGAAAAATACTTTAACCATCATTAAACACTTTCACAATCACTCATACACAATCACTGTCTTTGCAGAGACGCTCAGATACGACAGTTTAGAAGTCCCTCCAAACTGCCAATATCCCAAACCCCTCCTTTAAAGTGCAGGTATTGGACTTCCCCTTTCCAGGAATCAAATCCAGCTAACCGGTTTCCCTGAATCCCTTCACAAAATATTACCCTGCTCACACTCCATCAGCTCATCAGGTCCCAAAAACCATTCGTCTCCATTCACTCCTATCTAACACGCTTACTGAAAGTCCAAGCCCCTCGCCCCCAAAACCTCCTTTACCCCTTCCCTCCAACCTTTTCAAGGATGACCGCTATCCTGTCTTCCTTCCCCTACAGATTTATATGCTCTCCATGTCATTCTACCTTGATCCATTCTCTCTAAATGGCCAAACCACCTCAACAGCCCCTCATCAGCCCTCTGACTAATACTTTTATTAACTCCATGCTTTCTCCTAATTTCCACACTCTGAATTCTCTGCATAATATTTATACCACACATTGCCCTTAGACAGGACATCTCCACTGCCTCCAGCCGCCTCCTCGCTGCAACATTTACAACCCAAGCTTCACACCCATGTAAGAGTGTTGGTACCACTATACTTTCATACATTCCTTTCTTTGCCTCCATTGATAACGTTTTTTTGTCTCCACAAATAACTCAATGCACCACTCACCTTTTTTCCTTCATCAGTTCTATGGTTAAACTCATCTTTCAAACACTCATCCACTGACGAGTCAACTCCCAAATATCTGAAAACATTCACTTCTTCCATACTCCCTCTCTCCACTGTGATATCCAATTTTCCTTTATCTAAATCGTTTGATACCCTCATCACCTTACTCTTATCTATGTTCACTTTCAACTTTCTACCTTTACACACCCTCCGAAAGTCATCCCCTAACCCTTGCAACTTTTCTTTATAATCTCCCAAAAGCACAGTATCATCAGCAAAAAGTAATTGTGTCAACTCCCATTTTGTATTTCATTCTCCATAATTTATTCCCACCCCCTCTCCCCAACACCCTAGCATTTACTTCTTTTACAACCCCATCTATAAATACATATTTTAAACAACCATAGTGACATTTCACATCCCTGTCTAAGACCTACTTTTACCGGGAAGTAGTCTCCCTCTCTCCTACACACCCTAACCTGAGCCACACTATCCTCATAAAAACTCTTCACAGCATTTAGTAGCTTACTACCTATTCCATACACTTGCAACATCTGCCACATTGCTCCCCTATCCACTGTATCATATATTTTTTTTGTTTGTTTAACAAACCGGCCGTTTCCCACCAAGGTAGGGTGGCTCCAAAAAAAAAAAAAAAAAGTTTCTCTTTTTAAATTTAGTTATTTATACAAGAGAAGGGGTTATTAGCCCCTTGCCCCCGGCATTTTAGGCACCTCTTACAACA